GTGTTTTCTATTTCCATCCATTTGCCTGCAAACTTCAAGAAGTCCTTGTTTTTTACTGCTGAGTAGTACTCTAATATGTATATATTCCATACTTTCTTCATCCATTCTTCAATTGAAGGGCATCTAGGTTGTTTCCAGGTTCTGGCTATTACAAACAATGCTGCTATGAACATAGTAGAGCATATATTTTTGTTGTATGATAAGGCCTCTCTTGGGTATATTCCCAAGAGTGGTATTGCTGGGTCCAGGGGTAGGTTGATCCCAAATTTTCTGAGAAACCACCACACTGCTTTCCAGAGTAGTTGCACCACCCGGCTATCTTAAACCCAAAATAATCACACAGAAATTGTATTCATTTAAACACTGCCTGGCCCATTAGCTCTAACTTCTTATTGGATAATTCTTACATCTTAATTTAACCCATTTCTATTAATCTGTGTTTCGCAATGTGACTGTGGCTTAGAGGCAAGATTCTAACCAGCGTCTGTCTCAAGCAGAAGATCCATGGCATCTCTCCCTCTGTCCTTCTTCCCAGCATTCAGTTCTGTCTTCTCCTCCTACCTAAGTTCTGCCCTATCAGGCCAAGCAGTTCTTTACTGATTAACCAATGAAAGCAACACATAAAGAGAAGGACCTCCTACACCAAAATTGAAAGTACTCCTGTAACATGAGGTGTCTGGCTTGTTTGTTTGTGTTCTCTGTCCCACCCGGTACCCCACAACTGTTTATACCCAAAGAAAATCACACATAGGTCTACATAAAATATAAGCTGATTGGACCATTAGCTCTAGCCTCTCACGGGCTAACTCTCACATCTTGATTAACCCATTTTTCTGATCTATGTTAGCCATGTGGCTCAGTACCTTTTTTAGTGAGGCAGATCACATCCTCCAGACACCAGATGCTTTGGTGGTCTGGACAGGAGTGGGAGGAATCAACTTCCTTCTTCCCAGAATTCTCCTGTTCTCATTACATCATTTCTACTTCCTGTCTGGTTTTCCCACCTATATTTCCTGCCCAGCCAATCAGCGTTTATTTATAACATGATTGACAGAATACAGACAATTCTCCTGTACCACTTCCCCCTCTTTAAAAAAAAAAGGAAAATATCCATAGTCCATTTTTTGGGAATGTGGGCATAGTATTCCAGGGTACTTCCAGCTGGTTGGGGGCACTGATAATCTTATGGGGACCTAAAGAAAATTCAGAGTTATTATCAAGTCCTGACTGAAGTATCCTGTGAGTATTGATCATCTCATGAAGCAGTTTTGAACCAGTTTTGGATGAAAAACTCAGACATCTGGGCCATCTATTCCTGCGGGAGATTTCTCAGGTGGCCTTCCTTGATCAAAGTTGATTTTTCTTAACTCTGAATAAATCCACAGCCTCTCATTTTCTGTGGAAACAAAAGAAAAATCTCTTCTCCAAAGTGACATACCTTTTGACTTCAATTTTGAAGCCAGGTATTTTCAAAATACCTATCTGCAGCATTTATAAGCAAATATCTTTTAGCAGCTGTTGCTCCTTCCTCAGCATTCAAACAATTCAAAGAGAGCATAATAGCATACAGTATCAAGATTCTCTGTGTATTTTCCATCTTTATGTTGCCTTATTTTAACCTCTATTTCTTTTATTTTTACTTTTAATTTTTTGATACAGGTTCTCTGTATATCTTTGTCCTGGAATTTTCTCTTTAAACCAGGCTATCTTTGAACTCACAGAAATCTGTCTCTGTCTCCCAGGCTTCTCTCTCTCTCTCTCTCTCTCTCTCTCTCTCTCTCTCTCCTCTGAGAACTTTAACCTTTAGCCTGTATATATTTTTAACTATAAACCATTTAGAGGTTTTCTTACTCTTTGAATCTCTCTTTACTGTATATCTCTCTTTTTCTGACCACATGGGTCTTTAATTTGCTAAGAAATATGGAGAAGTTTTTTGCCAAAACTCTATGGCGTTTAAAGGCCCTTGCCAGGAAGCAAGCTGCAACAGTGTATCCATCAGGACTACCTGCTTGAAAGAGTCGGAGTTTTCCCTGGCAGGAAGGCCCAGAAGGCTGGCATTTTAAAACAGCAGCTTATTTCCTGATACGGCTGAAAACCAAAATGTTTTACTCTAGTCTTTTCCAAGCTTTCTCAGGCTTTCTGTGGATGCAGTTATCCAAGTTGTACACCATTTTGTAACATGAACGGGTCCACAAAGGGCCAAGCTGCTTGTTTGGGTATCTGTCTCTATCTCCATCCATTGTCAGATGAAAGTTCTATGGTGATAGGCAAGATATTCATCAGTGTGGCTAAAGGATAGGGTCAGTTCAGGCTCCCTCTCCTCAGCTGCCCAAGGAACAAGCTGGGGACATCTCCTTGGACACCTGGGAACCCCTCTAGAGTCAAGTCTCTTGCCAACCCTAAAATGGCTCCCTTAATTAAGATATATACTTCCCTGCGCCATACTCCGCATTGTGGTGAAAACATATCTGCTTTACTAAGGCACATGCTTACTGATTTTCTACACTGCAGATTTCAGTGCAGACTTCAGACAGCAGTCATGTTAATGCATCTAAAACTTTCATCTCTTTGTCAGTAAACTTTAAAAAAAAATTCATGTAACTTCAGGGAGTCGCAACTTGGAACCACCTGTCACAGGTCAAGGGACTCCACATTCACTCTCCTGTCAGTCAACAGCCTAAGCTCTGTTCCTGCTGCTGATCCCTGAGACTGGGCTCTCCCCTTCTCCCGGTGTTGGGATTCCTTCCACCTCCCCAATGACCAGGACCACAGCCCTGGAAGTTTCAAGTGTGCATCCAAGATAAATATTTTACCTAAGCAGCTGAATTTGCCCTTCTGTCTCTAGTCTACACCAGTCCCAGCAGACGCCCACTCAGCTGACAGACGCCATCCAGTGAGCAACTGTGGATGGCCCACTGCTACAAAACAGCCTTCAACGTGCTGGTACTGCAAAACCAGTGAGCTCTGGACTTGTTGAAATCACCAGGAAATCAGACGGTGGAATTCTTCTGAAGTACTTTCCTCAGGTCTCCTAACATTGCCTTCCAGCTTGTGCCCCTGCTTTGGGCCAGTATTACAGGCTGCTCCAAAACAGCTTGAACTTTGCCAGCCCCAGGTGGTCCTGCAGAATCTGGGCAGCGAAGTAGAATGTCCCCTGCCCCACTTCTAGGCTTTGGCTGGCACTCCAACTTTCCTGGTCCCTGACAATGATGTCCTAATTTTATCTGAGAAGCAGTTACAGAAAAGATTAGGTTGTCCCATATCATAGGGGTAGAGAAGAGTTACCTCCCAAGTCTCTAAGAAATTCTGTCAGCTGAGTCTTAACTTTAATCTTGTGTACGTAAAATCTTAGGCTGTTATGTTCTCCTTTTCTTGTCACAGGAAAAAAGGCCTGTGTGGCTCAGGAAGGAGGTTAACTGAGGAGACTGAGAGAACATGGTTGACTCTGAAGTGGGAGGACCAGATTCCACACTTCGGAGTCAGCGGCTTAGCTTGAACCTAATCAGATGGAAACATCTGGAAATAACAATCGCTCTGTTTCCATGTAGACTGATCATTAGCCTAATTAGTATCGAAGTTTGAGGTGATAAAACTTGATGTGTGGAAAATTTTAATTTTGTCTGAGTTAGTGCGATATTCCCCGGCTGGGCGGGACTCTGCTCCAAGGAGCTCTGTGGCTGTGCAGCCACAGCCGATGTGTTTCGACTGAGCCCCTCTTTTTCTCCACCATAAAATCACCTGCTGTAGTAGAGAAAAACAAGCAGGATTTTTTGTTCAAAATGCTTTATCCTGGGGCTCAGCCTCCTCCATCTTCCACAAATAAAGAGCTTAAGACTTTAAAAGAGAACTTACTGATCCTGTATTTGATGAAAGAGGATCCACTAGAGGAATAGCAGCATTTTCAGTGGATTTAAAAACCATATCATCAAAAAAGAAACTTCCTCCTTACTCTCTGAGGCACCATGAAGCTGTTATGCCCAGATCCGCGATGTCCCCCCAAAACCAAAAAGAGACTGAGTCCTGTATGTAAAAGCAAAGAGCCTTTATTTTATATAAGTTTGCAAACTCTGTCTCTCCTTGTGTCCAACGTATAATCAAAGAGCCCCTAGCTCAGTTAGAGTTGGGTTTTTATACTAGTAAAGGTTGGGATGAAAGATTTCTAAGGATCCTTGATTGGCTGACATTTGTCTAAGAGTATCCTGGTGAATGTGCACTGGCAGGTAATCCTACTACAATGGTTGGAACATTAGAAATTTCCCTTGGATGGTCTGTTCCTGGGTGATGCCTGGATAATTTCAGTTTGTGGTCCTTCCTGCAACCAGGTATTGCCTCAGGGTAAACTACTGAGACTTGGGCCTCTATTAAGTTTATCACGACTGGGTCCTACGCTGGCAGCTGATAATGGTTGGAAGTTAAGAACTTCCTTTGGGTGGTCTTTCCCTATTAAGCTTATTATGGTTGAGTCCTACAAAGCAAAAATAACAATCCAGTAATTGACATGGCTTCCTGGTTCTCAGGACTGTCATGCTATTTTTTAAATTTTTATTTTAATCTTTTGACCTCATGTCTGTTTTGGAGTAAATAAACTGTAATTATTATAGTGTTGAATTACAATTTGATCAGTTTTCTACTGTGGGTCTAAACAATCTCCTGTCTAACTCCATGGTGCAAATACATTAACATGAAACTCATATCACCCTTTTAGGTGATACTGTGCCTTTAAACTTTCACCTACACCTTCCCATGCTTTTAAATTTACAGAACCTATATTAGGGAGCCAAGGGCAGATTTTTACAGTGAAATTAAAGAATTCCTCTAAGAGCTTTAGCAAAACAATAAAAAGTAAATAAAAAGATACAAAACTAAATGCTTATGAAGTTTGAGGCCACCAAGGGAAGATCATAGCTTGAATAAAATTATAATTTAAAATTTTATTGATAATTGCTGTCAAGACAACAATCTATGAGCCCAATTTGAGGTTGCCATGAGAAGGGGATGAGGGGAGGATTTTTAAAGGTAAAAACTGCAAGAAGACCTTGAGTAAAGCTAGCCAAGCTCTACTCTGCCAAGACTAGTCAGTGTAACGATCTGTTCTGTCTCTTTAAGAGACAAGCCACGCCCACTCCCTCCCCCATCTGATGAGACAGGCTGATCTTCAGCTTCCAGCTTTCTGATCATAGTGTTTCATCACAGCAATAGAAACCCTGAGGAATTTAGACATCACAAAATGAATCATTTAAAGAAAAGAAAGTTCTTTAGGATGCAGCTGCTCTGTATCACTTCTGTCTGCTCATCTCTTTCTATTTTTAATCTTTAGTTAATGAATTTATTTATTTGCAATTTTTATGTAGTTCGCTAATCTCGCTCCTTTTAGTCTATATATTTATTGTGGCTCTACTCTTGATAATTTCTCCCATACTTGGGCCCCACATGTAGACTCCACTAGAACCAAACATGCAGGAATAAGAGTCATGAATGGTGAGGTGGTGATTGTGAGGACCAGGAATGAGAAATAGAGAAAATGGAAGCTAAATAAGACAAAAGACATAGCTGATGCCTTATGCCCATCAAGTTTATTAAGAAGTAGTACAACATCTTGTTCACTGTTCGCAGGGTAAAAATAGCAAGGGTCAGCAGAGAGGTAAGTCAGACAATGTTGAAAAAAAGAACAGGATACTGCACACACTTCTGTCTTAGCACTGATAACCAAAGCCCAGAGGGAAGAGTTGGGATCCCAGAAACTTGAACTTCATTTCCGAGGCACTGGATTCAGTTTCAGACTAGCCTTGTCATGTCTACTACTGGACAAGGACACAGGACCAAAGTTCCCTTTGTCCTTCCATTAGGGCCTCTGAGGACATCTTGGATTATTCTGGCTCCCCACAGTATTAGAGTGGCCATGTCTGTCTCCCACTATGGAGATGAAGGAGAATTATGGCAAGTGAGGGGACCAAATGAATGGTGCAGTGTGGGAAGGCTATGCACAGAGAATTCAGGTAGGGTGGCAGGGGGAAGTTAAGGTAGCAGCTGAATCATTATGAGGAGCCTCCCACCATCCATGAGTTTACACAAGATCGTTCAGATATTTGGAAGATTAAACCAATCAATCTGAGAAACCAGTGAAGCCCACTTTAGTTATCTCAGTGGTTATTTTTGTGATTTTATTTCGTCATCTCTGACAACGTTTCACTCCATGGTAACCCTAGAGCCTGTTATCCTCCTGCTTCAGCTACTCAGGTACATGTGCAGTCACCCCCATGTAAAAGTTCATTACTTTCAACTTTGCTAATGTATTTTTATGTGTATGGACGCATTGTCTATACATCATGTGCAACACATGACATGTATGCAGTGCTCCCAGAGGCCACAAGAGGGTACCGAATTCCCTGGAACTGGAATTATTGAGAGTTGTTAGCCACCATGTTGATGCTGGGAACCAAATACCATTTCTCTTCTAGAGCAGTCAGTGCTCTTAATCAGTGAACTATCTCTCCAGCCCTGAGGTTTATTTCTTAAATACTTGAGAAGCCTTGACGATTTTTTCATAATTCTTTTTTTAAGTTCAATGATCTTCTGTTTTCTTTTTTGTTTTTACCTTCTTAAATTTTTTATTGGTTTTTTTTTTTGTTTATTTGTTTGGGAGCACAGCTCATGTTCTTCATATCCACCTATGAGACACTGAGGCATGGAATAATCTGGTTTCAATCTCTCAAGGCATAGCTTATGCTGGAAACCCATGAACTTGTCTCCCCAGGAAACCACAGACTTCACTACTTCATGAGCTTGCATCTGGTCAGGTCTGGGGAGATCAACTTCACGGCCCATGGATACATTGATGGTAATCTCTTCCTGCGCTACAAGGGGGACAGAAGGAGAGCAGAGGTTTTGAGGGCCAGGATCAAGGGGCATGCAGGAGCTGAGACCTGGGCAAGAGAAACTGAGGGCCTTTGGAAGATGGAGGAGCAACTCAGGAGGATACTGGCTGAGGTCACAGACCAAGACAGGGGTAAGTAGACATAGTGCAGTATATACAGATTCAGTCCTGGTTCCTGAAGTCTGTGTGTGGGTATGGTGTAGCTAAACCCATTAAACACACCAGTGGTCCTTCCCTAAGAGGCACAAGAGCCCCACACTTCGCTGGATGACAGAATCCCCCCTATCTGCCCTGAATCCCACTGGGAACTGAGGTCCAGGGACAAGAAGATGACAGGTCCCTATCTGATGTGGACCAGGCCTTCACACCATCCAGGTAATCTTAGGCTGTGAACTTCAGAGAAATGGGAACATTGGAGGCTTCTGGCGCCTGGGCTATGATGGACAGGATGCCCTCACCTTTGACCAGAAGACTCTCACATGGATAATGGCTGTGCCATCCACTCAGCAAACCAAGACCTTCTGGGAGACACATGCACCCAAAGCTGATCAAGTTAAGAATTTCTTGGAGGGCATATGTCCTGCTCAGCTCAAGAGACACCTGGATTCCTTGAGGAACGCTCAGATGGACACAGGTATGGACCATCACCAGGGTTAGTTCCGAGGACTCAGGGGAACAGTCCTGTGTCCAAGAGGCTCTTTCCCATGGGATTCTGGATTCTCACTGGTGTGTATAATCATGGCAAAATGTCTAAGGTGGTGCCTAGAAGTTTGGGATGTAGGGTTTCCTCCAGAGTCAATGCTGGATCCCTCAGATAGGAAAGGCGGGTTTCCCAGACCTTGCCTGGATCTCACACAAGGCCCTCACATGCAGAATAAAGAGGCCTCTTCTTTCCAATAGTCTCCTTCTCTGGTGGAGGTTGACCTGGAGGATGGTAGAGAACTAGGTGGGAATGGCTGGATTCAGAACCACCCTTATGTGGAGCTAAAATAGAAGAAGACCCAAACCCAGAGCTCAGCTGCAGATTCTAGTGCAGTCCACCTAAATCCTGCGACCTGATCAAGGCCACACTGTTGCTTAGTGCTTACTTTTGCAAAGGTCACATAGTAGCTTAAAATCATTTGTAACTCCAGTTCTAGGGCATCCAATGCCCTCTGGTGATTTCCAAGAGCACTAGGTGTACACATGGTACACATACATCTATGCAGGCCAAACATGAATGCACATAAAGTAAATGAACCTAGAACATTGAAAAGGTCAAGTTTTCTATTCTTATTTGGTTTTGTCTTTTTTTTTTTTTTAAAAAAAAAGCAGAGCCTCATAATGCCCCTCAACCCCACTCACCCACCTCCTGCCTCCACCTTCTTAGTGCTACTTGTCTGACCCACTTTGGAATCTGAAACATGAAGTTTAAAGCTTTGGCTAAGTCAAACATGCAAAGGTGCCCTGGGACTTCTGTGAAGGAAGGAAGACGTTGGTCATCAGTCTTGGGCAAACTCCACGACCAAAGACTCACAACCACAGTCACCTGACTGTACTTAGAGAGTCCCTCACTTGTCCCCTAGAGATTGTCAGGCTGGCTTTGTCATAGAAAAGAGACTCATCTCACTCAGATTGAATCTGTAGCCCCCATAACACTGAGCCTATGGTCTCTTGGTAACTGTTGTTCATCTATGTCCTGTGTTGTAACGAGGAACTGCTAGCCCCTGACTGCACGAATACCATGTCCTCTCGTAAACAGAGTGTAAATGAGGGATGGACCCTCAAGAGCATCACTGGGAGCTGTGTCCTCTAGGGAGGAGAGGCTGAAGGCAAATAGGAACAGGATGGTTATTCTGGGCAACCCTTCATGTTGACATAGAGAGATCGTAACCCTCACTAAGTCACTTTATCTTCTTTCAGGTCCCCCAAAGTTAAAGGTGACCAGCAGGAGATACCCAGTGGGCAGGATCACCCTGAAATGCAGGGCTTTTAATTTATATCCTCCTGTGGCCACCCTGACCTGGCTTCAGGATGGGAAGCCAACACAGCAGCAAACTTTTGGGCCTGGGACCGTCCTGCCCAGCGGGGATGGGACCTACCAGACCTGGCTGTCTATTTGGGTTCTTCCTAGTCAGGAATCAGAGTTCACCTGCTCCCTGAGGAACCACAGCAAGAACATTGAGGTCCCTGATTTCTATGGTGAGAAAATGGGCCAGCCAGCCATCTAAGGGGATGAGAGGCAAGGTCGGGAAGTGTCTGTGAAGTACAATCACTACAGCTTTCTTGGTGGCCTCCAGGACATCAAGACAAGACAATCTCTGGGACCACAAGCTCTGCCTCTGCTCTGGTGGCTTCTGTTCTTTGTACCCTGTTGCTATTGCTAGCCTGTTCCTTCTAGAGCAGCAAGAACACACAGGACAGCAAGAAACCAGGTGAGCATCCCTGCAGGGTGTGGGAGAGGGTGGCAGGAATGGTAGGCAAATTGTACAGCTGGAAAGGTAGTCACATAAGCACCATTTTGCCCTACTGGTGAATGGAATGACCTACAGAGCCACCATCCAGGACCTGTTAACTTGCCCCACTGTTGGGAGGCAGCGCCCCCTGGTGGATGTACGGTGCTGCTTCCCATGTGTTCTTAGGTACACTATGAAACACATGGGCCCCAGAGCAGGCTGGAAACCCATGGCAAAGTCCAGATTGTGACCACCTACAAATGTCCCCATGTCTTCACCACATACATAGAAAGCAAACAGCCCAACAATACAGAGGGAGACCTGGTAGCCCACGAGAGGACTGAAAGCCACTCTGCCAGATGATGATGTCTGTCCCAATCATCATCTGGATCGGAACATGGAAACATCCTCTCAAAGGCATTCATGAACCATCTGGGCAAGACAGTGTGTGTATAAGTAAACACAAACATTTAAAGGGTTTTGAAGATATTTTCTTCTCTAAGTTCTCTTCAGGTGTGTATCAATAATCAAATAGGTCTTTAAAGATCCAGTACAGGATTTCTGCACTGTCTTCTAAGTTGAACTACAATCCTCCTGCCACCAGTCGGGACAGCCTAAAATTTTCACAACAAAATTTATTAACTGTTACTACTCTTTAACAGTAAAAGGAGGTGAACAGGCCCTCCCAACCACTTTTACTTTAAACACAAAAAAGGGATATCTATGTTTACCACTATAATGGTTGTAAAAAATAAAAATGCTATTTTTATATTTATAGCATAAGGAGATATGCATTAAATAATAAAATATTCTAAACATATAAGATTATTTTAATGAAAAAAATTATGTGTAAAGATTAAATGGATATATGACTACAGAGTGAAACTAAAAGACTTTTATAAGTTACAAAGATCTGAGTAAGGTATTTAATATATTTAAGAATAAAACTAAAAATAATATGTATGATATTAGTTTCTATGTTGTAAGATTAAGTATTATAAAAAACTGGCTGTAATGTATGTCAAATCAAGGTGGGTTTGGGATAGGGGGATCAGGTGTGGGTTGGTCAAGGGGAGAGTACTGAACCAACTGGAAAGGGGGTCATTTCAGGGTCAGGTAGAAACCTGGTACAAAGGAAACTTTCAGGATTCCACAAGGATGACCCCAGCTGAGACTCCTAATAATAGTAGATATGTAGCCTGAACTGGCCACATCCTATGACCACGTAAGACTTCCAGTAGACGTATCTGAACCCAGCTGCATAAACTTCAATCTACAGTCTATTCTGACTAGGGGATGTGCTGGGGTAAGGGTGACATAAAGATTGTGGGAGTGGCCAACCAATGACTGGTCCCAACCTGAGACCCACGCCAAGAGAGTGAGCCCACCCCTGACACTGCCTAGAGCGCCAGGACCCAGAGACCTAGGACAGAATCATACACGAGAGTAGAAAAACATGTCACTGTAATGATACCTAGTGATATTCTGCTGTACTCATAGATTGGTACCTAGTTGTCATCAGAGGGGCTTCATCCAGCAACCAATAGAAACAGATGCAGAGACCCTAAGGCAAACATTAGGCAGAGCTCTAGGAATGAAGCTGAAGAGGGGAGGAAGGAGTGTAGGAGCCAGGGAGGTCAAAGACATCATAAGAAAACCCACAGAATTAACTAACCTGGGCTCCTTGAGTTTCACAATGACTGAACCAAGAACCAGGGAACCTGTGTGGAACTGACATAGGCCCTCTGCATATAAGGGACAATTGTACAGCTTGGTCCTCTTCTAGAATGCCTAACAGTAAGACCAGAAGCTGTAATCAAATCTTTTGTTGGCTTTTGGAACCCTACTCCTAATACTGGGTCCCCTTGCCCAGTATGAATACATGCGGAGGTGGTTAGACTTACTGCAACTTGATATTGCCAATATCAATGTTTTGTTAATATCCATGGCAGGCCTGCCCTTTTCTGAACAAAAATGGAAGAGGGGTGAATCCAAGGGGCCAATGCAAAAGGGGGTTGGGGGAGGGGCTAGGAGGAGAAGGAAACTGGTAATAACATAAAATTAATTCATTAATTTTTAAAATGACTATAATATATGTCAAATCGAGGTTTATTTTGAATTATCTGGCTTTCAAAATATTACATGATAGTTGTAAGGATCAAACTGAGGTAACTGTTCTTCACCGGTTCTCAACCTGCGGGCTGTGACCCGTTTGTGGTCACATATAAGACATCTTGCATATCAGATAATTGCATTATGATTCATAGCATTAGGAAAATTACAGTTATGAAGTGTCAACAGGATAATTTTGTGGCTGGTGATCACCACAACATGAGGGGTATTAAAGGGTCACAGCATTAATCAGGTTGAGAACCACTGTTCTCTGTGTTTTCCATGTGAGATCGGCACGGCTCTCTTTAACTGCACTGGAATATCATCCACCATTGCTGTTTATCACTGGTGCATCTGTAGGGATGCGTCCTTCCAGTCTGAGTGACCTGCTATGTCTATGAGATATCTAAAAACCACATATATATGATTAGATACAGTTTTTCAGACATTATTAATTCATTTATCACTTGAGATTTCCAATCTCTAATAACCCACAAGTTACTTCATTCAATGAACATTTCCCAGTATGCAATGAGTCCGGTGCCCTGGTTTGAGAGTGGAATTCCCCGTAGAGTGTTGTGCTTGAGGATGCCCACGGTGCCTGGATGAAAACATCCTTCTAGGACCCCTCATTTCCTACATCCTGCAATAGTGTCTCCTGAGGGAAAGGTTTAACCAGACCTTTGGCTGCTGACTATAGTCCCAGGCAGGGGGAGCATTGATGTGACATATGGAGAAACTGAACAGTTATAGACATGGATTTCATTTTGTGTTTATACTTATTGCTTGTGTTAACCCTCATGTATGTTGCTGACTAGGATTTCCTCTATTTAAGAGGGTGGGGGATAGTTCCAAATGGCTTGCATCAGTTGTATCCCCTCTAATTGTGTAAAGTTCCTCTGCTCATAAGAGCCTCTCTTGCTTCTACAGCCTCCCTTGGATAAGGCCCCCGGGAAACTTGATGATACAAGCGATTTTGAACAGCAGATTCTCCTGACACTACATCAAGTTCTTTCTAGAGAAAAGGAAGGTTTTTAGGTCTTATTTTAACTAGTGTTTTTGCAGCAGTTACTGCTACAATTTCTGCAGCTCCTTCCACAGTGGCCCTGTCCCAACAAGTGTAAACTGTCTGTTTTGTTAATCAGCTTGCTTTAATACGTTTATGGCTTCAGGCACATACAAAATGTATAGATACAAACATATAGCTTCATTACAAGCTTTAGAAGTAGTGGTATTGCACCTAGGGGATGCAGTACAAGCAACACATCAGTTAGCGGGCTTTACTTCTCTAGGTTATGATTAATCCAGATGAAATGAAATAAAATTAAAAATCACTTACAGGGAATATGGTGTCATAAAAATGTTTATTTAGATCTATTAACACTCAGGCACATAATTACTGTCACAGGCTATGCTCCTCTTGAATACAATTTCCCTTTGGTGCTATCCCAAGACTTATTACAAAAGGCACAAGAATTCAACCCTTTTAACATCCTTTAACATACATTTAGCATTATGCTCAAACTATTTATGTTGGCGATTCCTTTGAAAATATTAGGAGGCATATAGCACAATAAGAAGAAAGAAAAAATAAAATATTAGGAGGCATGTGTTGGTGTATGGGATATCAATGTCTCTTAGACATTCAGACTCAAATTGCTCATCTAATGTTCAAAGGTAAGACAGGGGCTATATGGGAATCCACAGCAACCCAGGACATTCTCAGAGTCCCTGAGGACTAAGGAAGGGAAGGGAGGGGTTTGCTTGCCACCGGAATCTTTCAGGACAGGATGAAAGCCTGGCCCTACTGTTGGTCTTAGAGCTAGCTGTTCCTGGGGAATTCAGGAGTGTCCTGCCTCCTCCCCAGGGGGTGAGGTGCAAGGAGTGAGTTCTGAGCATGGAGGGGATCCTCCCTGTCAAAAAAAGAAGGGTACAGAGCTAGTCAGAAAGCTTAAGAACAGAGTAAATGGAGAGGAAAAAGATGGAAACGGAGGAGAGCATGGCTTGAAAAATTCATGCAGGGGTGAGGAGGGAGAAAGGCTTAACTAACTGAAGACTAGGTGAGCCTAGCAGGTCTTGTAACACACACCCCTGGCTGATCGAAGAAGTGTGGTCACACATTGGAAAGGTTTTGCTGTCAGCTGGAAGACATATAACTATTGGGGTCATGTGTTAGGAGGCCTCTGTAGAAGTAGAAGCTCTTTTTCCAAGAGCTGGGTGAGTGGACTTCTGAGGAAGGGTGGAGTATCTTCAGCTGGGAAATGGTGCAGGGAGTGTCCAGCAAATGGGGGTGGTCCTTTTAGTGCACCCTGCCTTCAAGGTTCACACAGAGGGTTGGTGAGTAATCTACACCTCAAGGGCAGAGGTCTGGATGCTGTGTCCTGAGAAAAACTGATTAGGGTCTGGGCACCATGTCAGGGGACAGTAAGTGCAGAGACAATGACTTAATCCTTCAGGGGATTAAGAGTGGGAGGGGCATGTGAGGAAACAAGAAGCAGGAGGAGAAGGGAAAGTACTGGCAGTAAATGAAGTGACAGGAATGCAAAAGGGCCTTGGCAGCTGTGGGGACAAACTGGAGGGTGGTGTGGGGGAGGGTGTAGAGAAGGGAGGGATCTGGGCAGATGTTTGCAGGGAGGTGGGGGGGCTGGAGTCTAAGGACAACTTCAAGTCACCTAGCTGAGAACCTCCCCTCCATTCCCTGACCCAGGGGGTAGTTCTATAAAACTATTATTTTAACGTTTAAAAGAAATAATTTTTGGCAGGCTGGTGGTGGCACATGCTTTAATCCCAATACTTGAGAGGTAGAAGCAAACAGATCTCTATGAGTTCGAGGCCAGCATGGTCTACAGAGCAAGTCCCAGAATATCCTGAACTGTTACACAAAGAAACCCTGTCAAGAAAGAAAGAAAGAAAGAAAGAAAGAAAGAAAGAAAGAAAGAAAGAAAGAAAGAAAGAAAGAGAAAGGAAAGAAAGACTAAAGGAAAAAATAGAGAAATAAACGACTCTTCTTTTATGTTTGTTTGTTTGAATTTTTGAGACATGTTCTCACTATGTAGCTCTGGATGTCCTGAAAGTTGTTTTGTAGACCAGGCTGGCCTCAAACTCAGAGAACTGCCTTGAACTTAGAGATCAGCCTGATACTGCCTCCCAGTGCTAGGATTAAAGTTATGAGACACCACACCTCATCTGAAGAATTTTCTTTCTTTAAAAAGATATATTTATTTATTTTAAGTATGTATGTATGTGTGTATGTATATATGGATGGATGGATGGATGATGGAGTGCTCTGTCTTTCTGGGCATCAAATCCCATTACAGATGGTGGTGAGCCACCATTTTGTTGCTGGGAATTGAACTCAGAATCTCTGGAAGAGCAAACAGAGCTCTTAACCACAGAGCCTTCTCTTCAGTCCAATAATTAATTTTCTTAATGGGAAATAATTTATTCGTGTGTGTGTGTGTGTGTGTGTGTGTGTGTGTGTGTTAGTACATGAATGCTCAGGGTATTCCACAGAATGGACAGCAGGGATCTTCCTCTATCATCCTGAGAAAGGGACTCTCACTGATCCTGAGACTCATGATTTCAGCAGTCTGACCAAGTGAGTTTTTAGGACTGCCTGCCTCTGCTCCTCAAAGCTGGGGTTCCAGGTATGGCAGTCATGCTCTGCTTTTGATGTGGGTGCTGGAGAATAGAACCCAATTTCTAGTTTTGCAGAGCCAGAACTCTTATGCTCTAAGCAGCTCTCCATCACCTTGTTGTTTGTTTATAACAAAGCTTCTTCCATGCAGCCCAGGATGCCTTGGGTCCTAAATTTCAGCTGATATACATTTCTCCGGTAGAATTTCCATCAAGTCGTTTGTCTGAGAAACAGATAACTGACTAACAAACTTCTTGGCCCTGTGAGATGACTCAGTAGGGAAAGTGCTGGCTGGACAAGCCTGACTGCCCTAGTTCAACCCTGAGAAACTGTGGAAAGACAAAGAAGTCCATAGCCTTCACTTTTAAAATTTCTTTTGATTTTTGTTTTTGTGCATGTGACGGTGTATGACTGAGTGCATTTGTGTGTGTGACACTTCCGTGCTGATGCCTGTGGAGGCCAAAAATGGGATTCGTACCCTGGAGGTGGAGATACAGGAGGTTGTGAACTACCTCATGTGGGAGCTAGGAACCAAACTCTGGTCTTCTGCAGGAGCAGCAAGCACTCTTAACCACGGAGTCATTTCTCCAGACCCTCCATGATTACCAGCCATGGAGCCCTTTCATATGGCTGCATGGTCACTCTGTAACCTAGACACAGCATGAAACACGTTTAGCTTCTGCAGTCAGTGCTACCCACCGTGGGTTTGCTCTCATCTTCTCTTTAGTACTTGACACAAAGGCTGATCACCTCTGTCATGCAGGATGGAGCTGGGTTAGCACTAGATTCCTAGCAGCACTGCCAATCAGTGTGTGCTGCTGGGGATCTGCCATCGTGTGTTAGTTTCTGTCAAAATGCACACCGTCACTCTATTCCCCACGGGCCTTTCATCTCTTTCTACTTTAGTCACTCACTCTACCTCTCCCAACCTTTTCCCTTTCATGCTGTAACAAAATGCTCCAATTCTCACCTCCTATGTCCCGAGCTAGACCAGTTCACAGCTGAAATTACCTGGCGCGAGTGAGAAGGGCACACAGGACACAAACAAACCCACTTAGGAGTTCATTAGAGGGGGTGCGTACAGGCTTGGGGGATCAGAGTGCAGAGAGAGAGAGAGAGAGAGAGAGAGAGAGAGAGAGAGAGAGAGAGAGAGAGAGAGAGAGAGAGAGAGAGAGAGAGAGAGAGAGAGAGAGAGAGAGAGAGAGAGAGAGAGAGAGAGAGAGAGAGAGAGAGAGAGAGAGAGAGAGAGAGAGAGAGAGAGAGAGAGAGAAATGGCGCATCCAGCATTTAAAAGCTGCCCAGCACATGCGCACAGGGGGTTGGCGTGACTACGTTTTACACCGATGACGCAGTGGGTGACTCACGCATGCGCACAAGGGTTTTAGCTGAGTCACTCGTGGATGTAACACACCTGCCTGCCTTTAGAACCTGGAAGTGCAACCTTATTTGTGGCTGAATAATTACAACAGCTTCACACCCATCGGCTACATCCTCTTTATAATAGGCATGATTTCTCTACCTCTAGCCCTGACCATGACCAGTCTGCTGCTTTTTTTGCCCAATTCTGAACTTTTCCAGATTCCTTGAGTTTTTCTCTCTCCTTTAATCTACAATGAAAATCTCTCCCCAATTTATGGAACAGCCATTACAGTGATTTCTTTATTGCATCTTCATTTACACTGTAGAGTTTATTAAAGCACAGAGATTTCTGGTCCCTGTGTGAGCATGTAATCAGGAAGCTAGAGTCTCAATACTGGTCTAGAGATGGGGCTGCTCTGGTTGGTAGAGAATAGAAGACTCTAGATTCCTGTCTAAAATGTCAGGAAAGAATTACTTTCTGTTTGTTACATTGTGCAAAAGACACACTTTCTGTATAGAACAGGAGAAGATTTTGCAGGGCATATCAGAAACTCTCAGCATCCACAGTGTTGTATGGAGGTTGCTTAGCTGTTGTTTGTTTTCCAGCTTCGCAGACGTCCCCCCCCAAAAAAAATCACACAGAAACTGTATTCATTAAATCACTGCTTGGCCCATTAGCTTTAGCTTCTTACTGGCTAACACTTGCGTCTTAATTTAACCCATCTTCATTAATCTGTTTATGGCCACATGGCAGTGGTTTACAGGGTAATGTTCCCAGCATCTGTCTCAGGGGGTGGCTCTGCCTTCTTCCTCCCAGCATTTAGTTCCATCTTCTCCGCCTACCTAAGTTCTGCCCTATCAACAGGCCAAGGCAGTTTCTTTATTCATTAACCAATAAAAGCAACACGTAGACAGAAGGACCTCCCACACCACCACAGCACCTTAGACCTGCACCAGCTTCCCATTCTTCTAATGGGCATCCTCAGTGCTACGATCTCCTCCACCTTCACCCATCTACTAACACTCAAAGTTCCCATGGGAGTCAGGTGGGTATGGCCAACAGAAGGTGGTGTAGGAGGGTCTTCTTTCTATGTGTTGCTTTCATTGGTTGAATAAAGAAATTGCCTTGGCCTTTTGACAGGGCAGGCCTTAGGTGGGTGGAGAGTAGAGAGAATAGGATGCTGGGAAGAAGAGAAGTGTGGCAGACGCCATGAATCTCCGGCATGAGACGGACATAGTTTAAAATCTCTCCCGGTAAGCCATGACCTCGTGGTGACATACAGATTATTAGATATGGGTTAAACTAAGATGTGAGAGTTAGCCAATAAGAGGCTAGAGCTAATGGGCCAGGCAGTGTTTTGATTAATACAATTTCCACGTGGTTATTTCAGGGTGGTGGAACGCGGCCCGTTCTTCCTACTACAAGAAGGGTTGAGTCTTGTTCAGGAAACTCCCAGCTTTTAATAGAAGATCACAGGCCAATGAGCTTGGCATTGCTCCGGAATGTCATAATCCAGATCCTGCTGCTGTCCTCGAGGCTGGTTTGGGGGTTCTATGAAGGTGAGGACTGGACAGAAAGGGGAACTTGGGCTGTGCCTGTGCTGTGGGATGCAGTGGGAGTGTGACAGAACCTTATTGTGTGGAGAGTGGAGTCTGGTGGGATTCCTGGGGAGAACTGTATCAGAGAGTGGTGAGGAGGACTTCAGTATCTAAGGGACACTGTGTGACTTTGGAAAAGAGGTCTTAGGGTGTCCTAGCCTAGTAGTGTGATCTTAGGCTTCTGGGGACTTGCTATGTTCAAGATAACTCCTGATAATACTAGGTATATGGCATGATTTCCATGTTTTCCTGTTGCAAAAGCTGACTTACGTGTACTTTGGGACATAGGAAGGTTCCAGTAAACGCTGGTTCAGCTGCCCAAAGTAGGATAAGGATTTTGGATATCCCTCACCCTAGAAAACACTGAGCGAGAGGTTAGTGCCAATGGGACTTTTTGTAAAGTGAGTAGTTGGTGCAGTATGTCACGAGGGGGCTTATTTCTCTCTGTGGAGGTGGTAGGCAAGCTCTCGGGGTGATAAAGAGAAAAGAGACATGTAATAAAACAAGCAATAAGGGAGATAATTAGAAGTAGCATACCTTCTGTTATTCTTTCTGCGGGGGAGGGTGGAGACAGAACACGAGACACACGGCGGTGCGGGGTTAGGAAGGAGACACGAGACACACGGCTGTCACACGTGGGTGCACTTTAATGGAGGGGGGTTACGACAGGTGAGGGACGGGGGTGAAGAGACAAAAGGAAAGAGAGAGAGCGCGACTTGTGGCGACCCCCTGTTTTTAATGGGGACGCAGGTGCGTCTGGGAGAATGTCCTGCGCATGTGCGGCTTTCCATTGGGCTGCTGGGATTTGTAGTCCAGAAGGATCCTGCGCATACGTGGCTTTCCATTGCGCTGGGATTCCTAGTCCAGGGGAATGCTGGGAACTGTAGTCTCCAAAAGGAACAACACCTTCCACCAGGAGGTAGAAACGAGCCATGATGGGTGTGGGGACCAAGTGAAGAGGAAGTGGGGGAGGGTTGCAGAAGGGAAGTGTCTGGGCAAGTGTTGTCAGGGAGTCGGTTGAGTGCAGAAGATTGTCTCAGGTTTATTCTGGATTTACCAATCATGTCGTGGTACCCTCAAAACTCCATGGTCCATATTCAGCTACAATTTTAATAACAAAGTTGATTTCTATTTGTTTGTTTTTTCCCAATTGAACTTTTTATTGATTATTTGTGGATTTCTGTCGGAGCCCATGAGGGTCCAACACCGATTCCCTAACCCGTTTGGAACGGAGTCGCGAGGAATAAAGCTGACACAGCTTACACGGTCATCATGGAAAAAGCCAGCTGATCCTTTATTCTCCAAACATCTTATATACCCCCACCAAATGAGCAGGAACCCACAAAGGCTGTTACCTAGGTAACCATGTGCCTGGGCCCAGGTCACTTCTGCATCTGGCAGTCAGGTAGGCCCTGAATTAGCATCCAAATTACAAAAGGAAGGAAGCACCAAACATCTAAACTCCAAAGTCATCAGCTTCAGTCAAACATCTCTTATCAGGTAATTCACATTTTAACAAAAGAAGCTAGGAGCAGGCATCCTGGCTTTTGTTAAGGGCAGAGACAGCTTGTCTGCAGAGCTATGTGATCCGCTCAAACCAGGCTAATGGCTTTTGTGCCATATCGAAATATGGGCCCACAGATTTCACGTCATGTATATTGATCCCATTCATTTCCCTGTCCATTCTTTACTCCCCTCTACCCTTGCAACTGCCCCACCAGAATAAAACAAGATAGAATTTAAAGGATAAGAAAATTAAAAAAAAAATAAAAGATCAATCTCCTAGTGGAATTTGTAGTGTGGCAAAGTGAGTCATATAATCACTGAATAAATATATTAGTACTTGAAAGGGTTCATTGCAATGAGTCATTTACTCTGGTTTCGAGGCCTCTGAGTATTGCTACACTGTCAATATTGGGCCTTCACTGGGGCTCCTCTTGGGCAACCTGTTGCTGTCCTGTACCATGGAAATCCTGCAACTTTAGGTCTGTAAGACCCCTTCACATGCTCCAGCCGATCATAGGTGTGAATGATGGGATGGGCAACTCAAAGTCCTGGTTCAGGGCCTGAGTGGTTGCTGGGTTATTTAGCCTACCAGATCCTCCTCCTCCTGAACACTAGGGTGACCTCTCCAGCTCTGTCCTGCCTAGCTCACCCTATATAGTAAGCATATAGGGACTGGGCCCTCTGTCAATCTCTCATGTTCCTTAGGCTGACTTGCCAACACCAACATCACCAGAGACAGCTCTACTGGCTGCCCAGGCAAACTGTAGGAACCACTCTTCCATGTGCTGCAGCCAGTGAGGGGCAGGACCAGCTCTTCCACTATCATGAACCAGAGGCCATTTCTCTTGCCTGCTGCAGGCAGCAAGGGATGACGGGTAAGGGAAGGCATCTCTTTTCTACCCATGTCACCCCAAGACAAGCTAGTAGTGTGGCCAGCTGTTCGCTCTCAATGCCCTCAGATCTGGCTCACCCATGCCCCCACCAAGAGGGGAGTTCTACTGTTTTTCCCAGGGGAAGTGCATGCCCGTATCTCCCACAGTGCTGCAGCCAGAGAGATGTCAGGCCAGATCACTGCTTCTCATGATCCAGGGACAGCTCTTCCACCTGCCACAGGCTATGAGTGATGTGTGTCAGGGGCTTCTCATTCTTGCCCACACCACCATATTGCAGATGGGAGGTTGGGCCAGATTTCTAATGCTTACTTTCTCAGGGCCCATCTCACCCACACACCCATCAACTCTATTGTCTTGCCCAGGTGAGGTGAAGGGCTCTCCCCCAACCCCAGATTAGAGAGGGCCTTGGCCAGGTCTCTCATCAGGTGGTGATGGGCAAGCATGAGATGGCATCCTTCCTTTACCCATGCCGTCACATGGCAGATGGGAGAGGCAGAACCAGCTCTCCCCCTCTCATGGCCTCAGGGCCAGAGGACCTGAATCCTGCCAACAATTAGCTCTGTAGAGCTTCCCAGGTGAGGTGCAAGGACCTGCTCTCTCCAATGCTGCAGCTGGTTGGGGGTAGGACCAGTTCTCCCTAGTGTTGCAGCCAGTGAGGGACAGGTCCAACTCTGTGCATTCCAGTCTCTCTGCTTTGGTGATAACAGGAACCACAGATATGATCATGGCTGTTTCAGGGCCATGGGCACAGACACAGACCTCAGAAACAGCTCAGGCTCAGATATCACAGTGGCCCTGGGTGGCAAGCAGGCCACTGACCTTAACACACTCCTCACTGCCTTCACTGCTTCAGATCTGCCTCTATCCAAAGGACATGAACCATTCTGTCTCTCTCTTTCACACCCCACCATATATTGCTCACAATGATAGAGCCCGTGCACACAGATCTGTTCCAGATCCCATCACGAGTCCTAACTTTCAGACACATTTCTTCTATTGAATTTCCATCTTATATACTACCCAGCTTTTTCACTGTGGTTGTGGGCACTGAACTCACAGCCCCACACACATTCTCACACTTAGCTCCAGCTCCTTATTTCTTTGTGTCAATACAGTGTTGCAGTAGGCCACTTGTTCATCCCAGCCGCTCAGCCGCCCGGAACCTAAATAATCACATAGAAACTGTATTCATTAAATCACTGCTTGACCTATTAGCTCTATCTTCTTGTTGACTCTTACATCTTAATTTAACCCATGTCCATTAATCTGTGCATCAACACGAGGTCATGGTGTTTCAGCATGTCTATCTCCAGCAGCAGCTCCATGGAGTATCTCTGACTCTGCCTCCTTTCTCCCAGAATTTACTTTAGTTTTCCCCACCTAGCTCTGTTCTTTTGCCCTATCACAGGCCAAGACAGTTTCTTTATTCATTAACCAATGGTAATCACAGCATACAGAGAGAAATACCACGTAAATACACCAGTAAAATTCTTTGTCCTTTCATATATTTCATATATTTTCTTCTATTTTAATATACATAATTGTTTTTTTCAAAGGATTTTTCAGCTACTATGAAAATGATCCTGTGATGATTTTTGTTTTTAAACCCATAAATGATTTATAGCATTTATTAACTCACATATACTAAACCATTCCTGCATGTCTGTGATAAAGCCAACTTGATCATTGTAGAGGAAGTTCTTGATATGTTCCTGTATTCCGTTTTCAAGTTTCTTATTGAGGATATTGCATCCGTGTTCATTAGGAATATTGTTTTGTGACTTGGCGGTTTTGTTGTGTCTTTACCTGGTTTGGGTATGAGAGTGATGCTGGCATAGACCAAGTTTGAGAATGTTCCTTATGCTTCTCTTTTTATAATAATTTAAGAAGCCTCTCTCCTTCCTGACCATCCATGCTACGTAAGCAGCCATTTCAAACTCACTCCCAAAGTCACAAACCTCTCCTGTGCCACCATGATGGGTCATGTCCCCTTGACCTGTGAGCTAATAAAGCTTTGCTCCTTTTGGTTGCTTCATCCAAAAAAAAATAATAATTTAAGAAATATTAACTGTAGATCTTCTTTAAAATCTGGTAGAATTCTGCTGTGAATGAATGTGCGCTTGGTTTTATTTTGTGTGTGGGTGGTATGCTTGTTTGTTCATTTGCTTTTGTCAGAAGAATTTTTATTACTATTTCATTCTATCCTTTATTACGGTTCAGTTTAGGTTCTTGATCTCTTCATGGTTTAACATTGGTGGTTTGAATGAATCTAGAAATGTATTTGGGTTTTTGTTTGTTTGTCTGTTTGCTTTAGGTCTTCCAGCATCATGGAGTAGAGGTTTCTGAGATATTTCTTTATAATATTTTGAATCACATAGTATATTCTTTTGTCCAATCAGCTGTTCTAGCAAATAAATATTCCTTTCAATGAGTCATTGATCTGGTTCAAGACCTCTGGTTTCTGGTACACCATCATCACTACAACCTCACTGAAATTCCTTTGGAATATTCTGCAGCAGCCTCGAGTCATGGAGATCATGTGGGTATCAATCCATAGGACCATTCCTTTCACAAGCTCCAGCAGGTCCCTAGGCAGGGTAGATATTAGGGTGAGCTACCCCAAATCTAAGCTGTGGGCCTGGGTGATAGTTGAGCTGGTCAGTCTGGGCCATGGAGGTTGCCTGCTTCAGGTAACAGGGAGGAGCCAGCACCCATATGCCTATGCCAGCAGGGTCTTTTCTCCCTCAACTGTGGTGAAGGGTGGGGCCATCACTCCTAAGTGCAGGACCAGGTCTTCCATGAGGACTGGGGCCAACTCTCTTGCTATAATGTCCAGAAAGGGGAAGGGGCAGTTTTCACAGGCCAAGACAAGGGTAGTACCAGCTCAGCATGGCCTTCTGATTTCATCATGCATTTTTTTTTCTAGGGGAATCTGAGGTGACACAACCACAGACATCAACACAAATCCCAGATGTAGCTGGACCACAGAGCCAGCCATGATCCTTGGCAGCAATGGGGTCTGGATGTCAACATTGCCCCAGGTGGCAGGCAGTGCAGTCCGCTCAGATCAGATCACCCCCAGCAGTGGCGAGCCCTCAGATGCTAACATGGTCCCATACCTCAGGTGTCAACATGACCTCCCATATTAAGAGGAATCTTGGACATCAACGAAGACCCTGACTGCAGTAGGGCCACAGACCTAGACATGGCCATCAGCTGCAACACTGGCCACCACTCAGATCTGAATGTCACCAGCTGCAGCATGCATGGTCTTGGCTACCAGCATGGTTCCAGGTGGCTGATTAAACCCAGGCAACCACACAACATTCAGTTGCAACAGAAGCCACAGACATTGAATCAGACCCTGGCTGCTGTAAGACCACAGAGACACACACGGCCCTAAGCAGCAGCCATGGCACAGATAACACTGGGGCCCCTGGTGACAGCACAGGACACCTACACCAGCATGTCTCCAGTGATAGCAAGAACCCCAGACACCAACACGGCCATTTTAAAATTTTCTACTATAATGTCTCCTTCTGACTCTTGCTCTTTCACTATCTTCCCTCCTTTTCTCTTTAATGCTATAACAAAGCACTCCACTGACTTCTCACACTCACACAGCCACACAATACAGTCTGAGTTCAGTTCCTCAAGGCAGAGTTGACTCTGGAAACCACCAACTTATCAATTATGTCACATTTCTCTTCCTCCCTCAGAAGAACATATTCTGCACTGTGACCTCACAGTCTTGTCTCCAAAGCAGTCTGAGCAACCACAATCTATGGTCATGTTATACTTCAATAATAAGCCCTTCCAACACGATTGTGGAGACAGGAAAAGAGAAAAGTCCCAGAGACATTGGATAAAGGGACAAGACGGAGCTGAAATCTGGGCAACACAGACCAAGGACATGCAGGAGAAGGAGGAGCAACTCAGGAGGATGCTGGCTAAGATCATGACCCAGAAGGACCACAGTGGAGGTGAGTGATCAAGCAGAGACAGGAGCACACAATTCAACTCTAGTCCCTGAAGTCAGGGTTGGGGACTAGAGACACTAGGCTGATTGTGTAAACTAGTGATGCTTCTGTAAGGCATATGGGTCCTAACTCCTGAGAAGTCATGGGACATACCCAAGTCATGGTAAGTTCAATGGGAACTAAGGTCTTTGAAAAGTAAGGTGACAAGTCTCTTCCTGGTATGGCCAGGCATTCACACCCTTCAGGAAACTTTCGGCTGTGAAATCCAAGGAAATGATACAAGAAGCTTCTGGCGCTTGGGTTATGATGGGCAAAACTTACTCCATTTGGACCAGAAAACCCTCACATGGAAAGCATCAGTGCCTTCAGCACACACGATCAAGACAATCTGGGAGAGTCATGGCCCCACGCTGGATGAAGTTAAGGCTTTTCTGTATCACTTATGTCCTGACCATCTCCAGAGGTGTTTGACTTATTCGAGGGGCCAAATGATGGATAAAGGTACTGATTATTGGTGGGTGGGTCCATTCACTGCATCTGACTGCATGAGTACTGAGTTCTCACTAAATCAGACAAACATCACATAGCCTAGGCAGACATAGCTTGTGGCAAGTGCAAATTGTGCCTTTCCAGGTTGCTCAGAATTCTGACTGCCATACAATTAGAAATATGGGCATGTATAATCTGGCCACTACAGGTTTATAACCTATTCTGTGTCAGGGGTCAAGGATCATTCTGCTCTCATTCTGGTCTTGATTTAGAAAGATCAAGTTCAAAGCTGTTTGATTAAGTAAGTCTTAAAACACAGGGTGGTAGGGGACATTTAGGTCCTTGGTTCACAGAGATGCATCAGGGAAACCAAGAATATTGAACACAAAGGGTTCTCTCATCAAAGGGAGAGATATTTTCCACCCGGAAGTCTAGAAGCAGAGAGACAAGGTTGAGAGCCTACTGACCTTCATGCAATCTGTATGTTCAGGCCGCATGGGCTCCCCCAGACCCTTATCTTGACTTGGTTGACTTAGCCAATCTACCACACTATCCTTTATCATGAACTTGTTTGCCTTGAGTCTGTTTCTTTAGTTAATCTATAGAACCTATTTTTGTGGAAAATGTCACTGGTACTTTACAAGAGGTTTGATGTAGTTATGTCTTGAACTTCATTGTGCATACAGGATTGAGTTAAATGTCACCAAATTTTCCAAATTGTACTGTACTTAAATTTGCCTAAAACAAAGTTTTAGGCCTTCCTGGGATCAGGCTCTCAAAGTTTGAACTGACACTAGCTACTAGTCAGTGATGAACCAGACTTCCTTCTTACCTCTTGTCAATGGAGAATGTGCTGAGCATCATACTCACAGAGACCCCCACAAAGAGTGTTCTCGGAAACCAGTGTGATGACAGAGCAGTCAGGATGAGGAACCACTTGTCAACCAGGCTTCTCCAAGGGGAAAATCTTAGAACCTCAGGCAAACAATCAGGATCCTGGTCAGTTCCCTGCCTGGGATGGTCCCTCACTGTGCCTTACAGCATGGGAGGCTGGCTTTCCTTTCTCTTGTGGAATAAGGAGTTATAGTCCACTAATGTCAGGTGACCAGCCCCTGTAGACTATGTCAGCTCTTTGTCCCATCAATATCTAAAATTTCTTTTGCATCACAGGCTGGATTAGATGGTTTGACAGTGAGATCTTCATGTCCTCTCAAGTTCTCCAGCTAGGTGGTGCTGACAGCCACAGGGTGTCAGGGGCCAGTGGAGCTGTGTGAGAATATCACACACTCATCTGACAAAAGGTGCCCTTACTCCCAGAGAGAGGAGGCTAGGGACAAACGTTAATAGGATGATACTTAAAAACTGGTTTGCTTCTGGATTCTCACTAGGAAAAAACGTTGGGGTCCTTTTTGTCACTTGTCTTCTTTTAAAAACAGTCTCATACTGCCTCTCATGCCAACTCACCCACCTCCTGCCCTCACCTTTCTAGTGCTATGACAATGGACATGTCTGGGACTTGAAATATGCGCCTTAAAGCTTTGACTAAGTCTTGTGACAGAAAAGAAGAGGGTATCCTGGGACATCGGTGGAGGAAGGAGGATACTGGCCATCAGTTTTGGGTCAACTCCAGAACCAAAGATTCAGGACCATAGTCAGCTGACTGTACTTAAAGAGTTCCTCACTTGTCCCCTAGAGATTGTGGATCTGGCTTTGAAAAGAGGCACATCCTACCCAGGCTGGATCTGTAGCCCCCATAACACTGAGCCTCTGGCCTCTTGGTGCCTATTGATCGTCTATACCTTGCATTGGAAAGAGGAACTGTGGGCCTATGACAACAGGGACACTATACCATTTTATCATCAGTGTGTAAATAAGGACCTGAACCTCAAAAACATCAGGAGCCATTGGAACTGAGTCCCAGCCCTCCCACAGTCCTATAACCACTGGAAACTGTGGTCTCTAGCGAGGGGAGACTGGAGGGGAATATGAACAGGATGGTTCTTCTGGCAGACCCTCCAGGAAGAGACAGAGAGGTCTTCACCCTCACTAACTCACTTTATCTTCTCTCAGGTCCCCCAAAGTTAAAGGTGACCAGAAGGAGATACCCAGTGGGCAGGACCACTCTGACATGCAAGGTTTTTAATCTGTATTCTCCTGTGGCCACCCTGACCTGGCTTCAGGATGGGAAGCCAACACAGCAGCAAACTTTTGGGCCTGGGACCATCCTGCCCAGCGGGGATGGGACCTACCAGACCTGGCTGTCTATTTGGATTCTTCCTAGTCAGGAATCAGAGTTCACCTGTTCCCTGAGGAACCACAACAAGAACATTGAGGTCCCTGATTTCTATGGTGAGAAAATGGGCCAGCCAGCCATCTAAGGGGATGAGAGGCAAGGTCGGGAAGTGTCTGTGAAGTACAATCACTACAGCTTTCTTGGTGGCCTCCAGGACATCAAGACAAGACAATCTCTGGGACCACAAGCTCTGCCTCTGCTCTGGTGGCTTCTGTTCTTTGTACCCTGTTGCTATTGCTAGCCTGTTCCTTCTAGAGCAGCAAGAACACACAGGACAGCAAGAAAACAGGTGAGCATCCCTGCAGGGTGTGGGAGAGGGTGGCAGGAATGGTAGGCAAATTGTACAGCTGAAAAGGTAGTCACATAAGCACCATTTTGCCATACTGGTGAATGGAATGAAATACAGAGCCACCATCCAGGACCTGTTAACTTGCCCCACTGTTGGGAGGCAGCGCCCCCTGGTGGATGTACGGTGCTGCTTCCCATGTGTTCTTAGGTACACTATGAAACACATGGGCTCCAGAGCAGGCTGGACACCCATGGCAAAGTCCAGATTGTGACCACCTACAAATGTCCCCATGTCTTCACCACATACATAGAAAGCAAACAGCCCAACAATACAGAGGGAGACCTGGTAGCCCACGAGAGGACTGAAAGCCACTCTGCCAGATGATGATGTCTGCCCAAATCATCATCTGGATCGGAACATGGAAACGTCCTCTCAAAGGCATTTATGAACCATCTGGTCGAGACAGTGTGTGTATACGTAAACACAAACATTTAAAGGGTTTTGAAGATATTTTTATCTCCATAGAGTTCCAATAGAGGTATCTGGACCCCAAACCAATCACATAATCCTCGAACTACAGTCTATTCTGACTATGGGATGTGCTGGGGTAAGGGTGACATAGAGATTGTGGGAGTGGCCAACCAATGACTGGTCCAGCCTCAGACCCACGTCATGAACCCACTCCTGACACTGCCTACAGTGATAGGACACAGAGGCTGGATGACCCAGAGACTTAGGATAGAACCAAATATGACCATAGAGAAAGAAGTCAATGTAACGATGCCTAGTGATATTCTGCTATACTCATAAATCGGTACCTAGCCCAGTGGTCATCAGAGGGGCTTCATACAGAAACTATAGAAACAGATGCAGAGACCCACAAATGCAGAGTCAAACATTAGGCTGAGTTCAGGGAATCCAGATGAAGAGAGAAACAAAGGATTGTAGGATCCAGAGAGGTCAAGGACATCACAAGAAAACCTACAGAATTAACTAACTTGGACCCATAGGAGCTCACAGACTCTGAATCAACAACTAGAGAACCTACATGGGAGTGACCCAGCCCCTCTGCAAATATGGGACAGTTGAGTGTCTTGGTCCTCTTGTGGTACTCCTAACAGTAAAAGCAGGCACTGTCTCTGCCTCTTTTGCTGGCTTTTGGAACCCTTCTCCTCATACTGGGTCACCTTGCACAGCTTTAATACATGGGGAGGTGCTTAGTCTTACTACAACTCCATATGTTATGTTTTGCCAATATTCATGAGAGGCCAGCCCTTTTCTCAATAAAAATTAATGAGGGGTAAATCCATTGGTGGAGCACAAGAAGGGGTCGGGGAGGAACTGGGAGGATAGGAGAGAGGGAAAACTTCAGTCCAAATGTAAAATTAGTTAGTTAATTAATTAATTAAATTAAAAATGACTATAATGTATGTCAAATCAAGATTTATTTTTAAATATCTGGCTTTTAAAAATAGTACATGATAGTGGTAAGTATCAGGTTGAGGTAACTGGTCTTCTTCAGTGGTTTTCAACCTATGGGTCATGACCCCTTTGGGGACACATATCAAATATTCCACAGAACAGATATTTATATTATAATTCACAACAGTGGAAAAATTGCAGTTATAAATTATCAACAGAATAATTTTATGGTTGGAGGTCACTACAACAAGAGGAACTGTGTTAAAGGGTCACAGTATTAGGAAGGTTGAGAACCACTGTTCTCAATGTTTTCTTATGTGCGGCCTGGTATTCTCTCTCTACCTATACTGTGATATCATCAACCATTCCTATCTATCATTGATGGGTCTGTAGGGATGTGTCCCTCCCATCTCAGTGACCTGTTATGCCTATAAATTTGGTAGGGGTTGGATATACACTTTTCATACATTATCAATTCCTTCATCCCTTGAGATTTCCAATTCCTAATTACCCACAGGTTACTCCATTGGAAGAACATTTCCTAGTAAGCAGTGTTTCCCAAGCAGTGTTGCCTGGTTTGAGAGTGGAACTCCCTCTTGGGTGGTGTGCTCTAGAGAAGCCTATGCCTCTGAGTGGACAACCTGAGGTACTGGTCAACTGGTTGACTGGTCTTGAAGATGCCTGCAGGGTCTGGATGCAGAGAACTTTCTAGGACCCCCTCATTGCCCACATCCTGCAATAGTGTCACCGAAAGGAAAAGTTTGGCCAGGCCTTTGGGCTATTAGCCATGGTCCCAGGCAGTATTGCATTCGTGGGACCTTTGGAGAAAATGAGCAATTGTGACACAGACATCATTTTATGTTTGGATTCACTGCCTGTGTTAACCCTTCATGTATGTTATTGACTGGGAGTTCCTTTATTTAAGAGTGTGGGAGACACTTCAAAATGATCTGCATCAATTGTTTGTGCTGTAACTGTGTAAACTTCCTCTCCGTTCATAAGATCTTTTCTTAGTTCCATAGCTTCCCTTCGCTATGGCTCCTGTGAACCTTGATGAAATATGTGATTTTGAACAATGGTTTCTCCTGGCAGTGCATCATGCTCTTTTTTAAAAAATAAGGAAGGTTTTGAAGAACCCAGGAATATGAAAAATTGTATGTCTATAGCCTGTACACATATTCTAGGGTTGATAGCTGCCCTTTGCCATACATTCTTCCAGACACAGAAAAGCTATGTAAACATCTTGAACCAGCATCCTGTAATCAGAGGTTGTCAGTGCTGACTCTGAAGGTGCTCACCACAGCAGTTGTAATTCTTTAACTCTGTGTACTTCCCAGAGGCTTAGGAGGTGCAAGTTCTGACTTCAGGAGTAGTACACTCTCCAACAGCCATAAATTATGACCCCGGGAATGCACTCCCTTACCCCGTGGTCTTTTACTATAAAAAGACATACGCAGTCCCTTCTCGGGGTCATTGTCTGTGGCCCTAACTAGTGAGAAGTTTGTATGCCCTGCAGTGATGGAATAAAGTTGCTTCTGTTCATCTCATTTTGGTGGTGGCCATGTCCTCAATATCTGCACAGTTCCCAACTGCAGCAGTTTTTAGGTATACTTTAACTAACATTTCTGCAGTAGTCACTGCTGCACCTACTGCAGCTGTATCCATAATAGTCCTGATCCAACAAGTGCAAACTGCCTGTTTTGTTAATCAGCTTGCTTATAATACTTTTGTGACTGTGACTTTGACAACACAAGAATGTGCAGATAAAAACGTATAGCTTCATTTCAAGCTTTAGAAGTTGTGATATTTCACCTAGTGAATGAAGTACAAGCAACACATCAGTTACCTCTTCTGTGTCCTGTTGGCTTCAGGTATGTCTGTATTAATTCTTTAAGCTATAATGAACCCAGATAAAAATAAAATTAAATTAAAATGATCAGCACTCGGGCAATTAATTACTGTCTTAGGCTGTGTTTATCTCAAATTTAATTCCCCTTTGGTACTGACCCACAAAGATTATTGAAGAAGGCACGAGGATTCAACCCTTTTACAGTGAGCGAAAAAAGAAGAAGAAGCATTTCTTTATGGAAACATTTGCTACACATTTTCAGCTTTGAAGAATGTCATGAAAAAAAAAAAAAGAATGTGTCTCCTTGGGGACTTTCCCCAAGCTTGCTTCAAAATTTGCAGAGCAGAGAAAACACCCATACTGTGAAAGCTCTAGCTATATAGTGCTGTACCCCAAGCAGCACTGCAGCCCTGAGCCCTGTCATTGAAACCAGTTAGAATAACCTATTAGATTCCTGAGGACCTTACAAAGGTGGAAGGCAGAAAAATGGGTGACTGACAGGCAGACAAAGTAACTCACCCATAATGAAGGAATATGTCTCTAAAATAGAAACCTCCGAATCCACTCATCCCCTCTCCTCTCACCCCTCCACTACTACCCTAGGAAGATACAACTTTAGGCAACTTTAGACAGGCAGAACTGTGTTTATTGGTGCACATGGAAAGGGGCATAACTCTAAAAGATGATTGGAAATGATTACTACACGTATCTTTTGTTTCCACTCTTCCCGGTTTTTCTTGCCTGGCTGCAAAGGAAGCTGGGATGTGTAGTCTTTTAACAAGAAATTGCTAAGGCCCTCACTTACGTGGCAGAGACTACATAAATGGAAACGCCACACAAGACCACTTCTGTTAACCCACACAGGAAGTGCACCAGCCAATCTGTACACCCCTCTTTCACAGTCTCTGGAAATTACTTGTCACAACACTGCAGACAAATAACTCACCATAAGAGACATATTTATTATGTCTCTAAAATATAAACCTCCAAATCCACTCATCCCCTCTCCTCTCACCCCTCCACTACTACCCCAGGAAGATATAACTTTAGGCAAGCAAACACTACGGCTGACCCCCAACCCCTCACTGGGGGATTCTAGGCAGGGACTCTACCACTTATCCACACCTCCAGTTCCTCTCTAGGGGATTTTAGACAAACTTCTTAAAACTGTATTTTGTCTTTTCTTTCTCTCTTTTATTGCTTATATTGTGGGGTTGTACCAGCGTAAATGAATTCAGACAGATTGTAATAATATATACAGCTTTAATGGGGAAATAGACTTACAGAACAGGGGAGCAGAGAGAGATTTATAAGTAAACATTAGCCCGAGGCGAACACGCCCCCTAATGGGCTGGGCTTATCCCTACATCAGGGTGATCAATTTTAATTAATTTCTTCAAAGACAACTTTAATTTTGTTGGTTTTCCAAGTACTAAGCAGGCCCATTCATACTTAGTTTCCAAGACCAGAAGAAAGTAGGCCCTTTCATAGTAATATGACTGTAGGAAGAGGGCCCGCTTGTTCATCCCGCCGCCCAGCTAGCTTAGCACAGAAATAACCACACAGAAACTGTATTAAAATTGAGGAGATTCCATGGAGCCGCCAGAGACAGACTCTGAGAATTTTACCCCGTAAGCCACTGCCACGTGGCAATAAACAAATTAATAGAAATGGGTTAAACTAATATTTAAGAATTAGCCAATAAAAAGCTAAAGCTAATGGGACAAGCAGTGATTTAATTAATAGTTTCTGTGTGGTTATTTTGGATCTGGGCAGCCAGGACAAACAAGCAGCTCCTTGCAACATATGATCATAGTTTTGTTGGTTTTATATTAATTTTACTTTCTATTCCCTTGAATTTTTTGTCCATTTCTTTTCTCTCCTTCCTCTGTTCTTAGAGTGCTGGGCAGGTAACTGAATTGGTTCTCAATGAACAGCTTCTTGCAACCCATGTTCTTGTAAAGTGCAGTACCCTTGATGTCACCAGGACCTTGTAGTGTGTGTGTGTGTGTGTGCGCGCGCGCGCGCGCATGGTGTGTCTGTGTGTTCATCTGTATGTGTGTTTGTGTGTGTGTGTGTGTCAGTGTGTGCATCTGTGTGTATGTTTGTGTGGGTGAATGTGTTGGTGTGTGTGTCTATGTTTGTGTGTGTGTGCATGTGGTATATCTGTGTTTGCGTGTGTTTGTGTGGGTGCTTGTGTGTGTTAGGCTGGGAGCGTAGGCCCCAGTCCCTGGCATCTATCTCAGCCCCCAGGCCTGGGCTGGACTTCAAATCCCAGCGGTCCAAGTCCTGATCCCTCCCTGGGGGTGGGGTCAGGACCACTCCCCAGGGTACTTAAGTGATCCCCCCAAAAAAGAACACGTGGTCCCCCTTTCTTCCTCCTGGGGGTCGCTTTTCTGTGGCTTCCCATTTCCCCCTCGGGGCTACCCGAGAGCGCAGATCTCCCATTAAACCTGGATATTTCTTAATTCGGCCTGTTTTGATTTGGCTTGATTGGGAATTTTTGTGTCGTCAGAGAGCTTGGTTGGGAAATATTCCTAACAGTGTGTATGCCTGTATTTGCATCTGTGTGTTTGTGTGGATGTATGTGTGTGTCTGTGTGTGCATCTGTGTGTGTTTGTGTATGTGTGTGTGTGTCTGTAGGTACATCTGTGTGTTTGTTTGGGTGTCTATGTGTGTCTGTGAGTGTGTTTGTGTGGGTGTCCGTGTGTGTTTCTGTGTGTGTTTGTGGATGTCTGTGTGTGTCTCTGTTTCAACATATATGTCTATATATATTGTAATATCTGGGACCAACTGGTTATAAATAAAATATTTTCAGCAGTTGTCTTTAATCTTTTACTTAGTGAAAATTGTTAACGTCTCCTTGGTTAGTAGTGTTGGGCAAAATAGAAAATTCCTTCTGTCCAGGCTACATTGCTTCACCCTAATTCCCCTGCCCAGCCTAGGGATTTTTTTTTTTACTTTATAAATATTTTTTTTTTACAAGAGAATGATGTCTTTGAGTTTTCCAGTTGTAAAGATCACTGTTTGAAAATGTAACATAAATCATGAAAGAGAAAGGAGTAGAACTTTCTCTTCTTGCAGGATCAGCCCAGGGTCTTTCTCCCCTTCCCCAGAGCTGCTTAGAGTAGACAAGGAGTGGAGGAAATGCTCGCCTGGAGGAACTCTTTCCCCCTCCCTCTGTGCAGTTCACTGCAATGGAGGGCAGGCTGTGGATGAGAGGTGGTGGTTACCGGGATCTTCACCAAAGAGTAATGTCTCCCAAACTCCTTTCCTGACCCAAGGCTAGGCCTGATAGGTTTTTCTTAGGACAGCATAGAATACCGTCTCCACCCTAAGTGTCCATGTCAGGGCTTTGGGTCTGAGCCCAAGAGGAACTGGGGGGCAATGCTCTACTCCATGTGTTTAGTAGTTGCAGTCATGAAGGAATCAAATTTACTCTCAGCTAACATTCAGTTGACTGTGTCATTTCTGTTGGCCTCAGTAGGTTCCAGGTTCAACACTCATAAAATTGTTAATCATTTATTGTGACACTGGGTAAACTGAGAATCATGTTTCCTTCTGACACATACACCCTGTGAACATGTGAGGGGCTCTGACCTTTTGACCACCATAGGCAAGTTGTATACTGAATCTCAGGTACACTGGCTAATGTTCCCCTCTGTGAGGTTGAAGCTTCTGTTTGTGATGTTGGCCATGGGTAGCAGTGCTGTGTAGACAACAGAGAGAAGATGGCACCAAAGCATTGGTCTCACTAAACTCCACACCCATTCAGTCCCTTAGAGAACCAGGCAGAAGATGACTCATAGGCAGATGCAGCAGGACCTGAGTGGCCAGGGGTGGTGGGTGTCACTGGATATTCGATCACATTGTAAACCTCTAGTTTACATTTGTATTAATTAAATGAAATCAGTCTTTGGCCAATAGACAGAGACAGCAACTAACTGACAGAAAGTAACCATAGAGACTCACAGGGAGTCTGGAAGATGGATAGACAGACACACAGAAAGTCGTAAGAAGGGACTTTGAGTGTGGTGGTCTTTTTTCTTTTGGCAGAGCAAATAGATGCCCTTTCTGTGACACCAGTGAAAAGGGAAAGCCAGCTAGCTGCTCCTCGACCTTTCTGAGCTAGCGCATTTTCACCCCAGCCTCTGAATCTCAAACATTTATAGGTAAATAGAACAACAAAACCACATTTGGAGGCAGCAGCAGGAGGCAGATCCAGTCTCACCAGGCCACTGAGAAGCTGACCAGTAGCTGTGGAGCAGCAATTACTGGATGAAACAGCAGTAGATTTGAGTGCAACCCCTGTGATGGCAACAGAAAAATAACAGGAGGGCCTCCTGTGCCATGTGGGAAAAAAGGCCTTTGTCACATGTGAGCTGAGCTGCAGAGCTTGAAGGTATAGTCCCAAGACCTGGAGTCAGAGGCCCAGGATTTCTCCTGATCCCCTCTGCCCCCAGAAAACACAGAGTGCAGTATTCTTCCAGCTCCACTGACCCCCACAGCTTAGCCTAGACCAGCACCCTCCAAGGCTTAGCTGTTCCAGGTTAGCCTCCACATAGGACATAACAAGACTTTCCATTTAACTTTCCTGAGAACCACCCACACCTGAACTCAGAACTTTTGTGTACAGAAATCTCAAACACAAGACTAGGAGTGGGTCTGGCTTTCAGCTCACTCCAAACTGGCCCATAATATTGCCCATTCTTACCAGGTGCTTGATGGTGACTGACATGAGCCACAGGGCCCCAAATGGCAAAGAATGAGTCTCAAAACTAATGCAGAAAAGTGAAAGGTATGGGCTACAGGCAAGTTTGAAACAGAACCATTATTTTGTTCTTGTCCTGTAATACCCTGTCTCCCACAGGTCAGGACTATGCAGATATGTTTACTGAAACTTGGAGGGTTCTTTTCTTATGTTTTTTTTTTAAATGTGTTTGATTACTTTGGCACATGTATATCTGTGCAACACAAGCATGTATAGCATACACAGAAACAGGAACAGGGCATTGGATCCCCAGAAAATGGAATTACAGTTTGGTTATGAGCTGCCACGTGTGCTGGGAACAGAACTTGGGGTTTTC